CCTCCTCCTCATCCTTCTCCTCCTCGTCCACTGCCCCATCGACGGCCGCTAAGACGTCTGTCGCTCAAGACGACACGGCAAACATACCAGACACAACACCGGGCACCATCCCTTCAGCCTCCGACTCCAGACGTGAGGACCAGGACTACACCTGCCCTCACTGCGACCGTACCTTCACCTCACACATCGGCCTGGTCGGTCACTTGCGAATCCATCGCACAGAGACTGGCGAAACAGTGCCTGGAGCACCAACCTACACCCACCGCACTCGCCTCCACTGCCCACAATGCCCTCGCACCTTCCGGCATCGCATGGGCCTATTCGGCCACATGCACATCCACGACAGTGGAATTGACCGCAGCCTTGACACACCCACCCCGCCGAACCCCGCTCCCAATGTACCACCTTGTGCACCCACTAACTACACCCCAGCCGACATCGACGCCACCGACCTTACCACCCCTCACTCCTCCCCTTCTTCCTCCTCCTCTTCCTCCTTCACTGCCACAACGACGGCCACTCCGGCGTCTGTAGTGCATGACTTCACTACAGCCGCACCTGACACAACAACAGGCACAACCCCTGCAACCTCCATCATCAGAGGGGAGGGCCAGGACTACATCTGCCCTCACTGCGATCGCACCTTCAACTCACGCATCGGCCTGGTCGGTCACTTGCGAATCCATCGCACAGAGACCGGCCAACCAGTGCCTGGAGCACCAACCTAACCCACCGCACTCGCCTCCGCTGCCCACACTGCCCTCGCACCTCCACTCATCGCATGGGTCTATTCGGCCACATGCGCATCCACGAGAGCGGAATTAACCACAATTCCGATACACCAACTTCGCCCATTATGCCCAGCACCACCCTTGCACCATCCGTCTGCACCACCACCAACGCCTCATCTGTAGCTAACACCGACACCGCCGACTTCTCATGCCCACACTGTCCAGGCACATTCACCTCTGGCATCGGTCTGGTCGGTCACATGGGAATCCATGGCACATAGCCTGGACAACCAGTGCCTGGAGCACCAACCTACACACACCAAGTTCGTCTCAACTGCCCACACTGCCCTCGCATTTTCAGGCATCGCTTGGGCCTATTCAGTCACATGCGCATCCACGACGACCTGCGGTAGACAACCGCAGGTTACACCACACATTCACACACTCCACCACCACACCAACACCAACACCAACACCAACACCACCACCACCACCACCACCACCACCACCACCACCACCACCACCACCACCACCACCACCACCACCACCACCACCACCACCACCACCACCACACATCAACACTCACACACCTCAAGCACACTACTGCCACCTCCCACGCAAGTGGGAAGTGTGCATCTCGAATCGGTTCCCATGCGACTTAGGCTGCACGGGTGATTTGAGTCCGCGACTATCCCGACACGTCAAGCGTCGTGTATAGGAAGGTTGCTGATTGAGGCCCGCTCTCGATTCACGCAGTTCGTCACGTTGTGTGTGTGTGTTGTGTGTAGTGGCGGACTGGTGGGCTGGGAACGGTCTGCAACAGCACCTTCCACGGCACTCTCACGCAAGTGAGAGACACGCCGTTCAACCCCCGTTGTGTGAAAACCTGGTGTTTGTGTGTATGGGGGCCAGGTCGTGCTGTGGCGCGCGCAGTCATGGTCCGTCGACCATGACAGCCACCGCGCCCACTCCCCACTCCAGTCTGCTGACCGGCTCGGACAGCGGCTGGGGTGTGGGAGTGGGAAAGGAGAGTGAGGTCGACGACTTAGCGCATTTTCCTCACTATAAACAATCTGACGCGCTTGAAGCTATCACGGTGCGCCTAAAGCCGTGGCTTGGAAGGTTGCCAACAGACGGGGTACCTTGGACCTCCTCTTTCACGATAGGCGTTCTGAGAGTCAGGCTGCAATGGCTCCTTTTTAATGTGGCCTTTATGGCACTCCCACCACAGCGTGGGATCCGAGCCAGGCGTTGGCGGCACGCCTAGGTGCGGCTTCGGCCGTGCCAGCCTCCAAATCTCTGTTGTGTTGGTTGAAATCTTGGTTATTGTTGTGTGGACCAGGGGGTGTGGTGGAACGCCAAGGTGAGGATCCGTCCGAGCCATCCAACTGCGGCCTCCCCCGTCTCCGGTCTTCTTGACTCTGTCTTGACACCGGGCCCAGGCGGGGGAGGAGGAGAGAGTGTAGGTAGATGCTACGCAAGTCTACTGGCACTATAAACCCCTGCGCAAGTCACCGTCCCTGCTACCACAATGCAGTCTGTGGGGAACACGGTGGACATCGTCGAAATCGACGGTCGAACTGTCGTGTGTGTGTGTGTGTGTGTGTGTATGTGTGTGTGTGTGGGGAGGGTGTCAGCGATGGGTTCACGTGATGGTCGTAGTGGTCGTTCACTTGCTTGAAGGTGAGACTACCCCCAGCGTCCATTTCTTGGCACTCAACTCTCACATGTGGCTCCACGTTGCTGGGTTCTGCTCAGCGGCCACTTTCGGGCAACAGCCTCGACCGGCGGGCTAAACCATGTGAGGGCGGTTACCCCCTGCACGCGTTGTACCACGTGCACAGGGTACTGCAGACTCCGTTAACCGGTTGGCCGAATGGAACACCGTGTCGTCGCCGTCGTGAAGATGCCTCGTCTACGCCGTTGGTTACCTGGTTGGTGGAACGTCGCAGCGGCATCGTCGAGAAGAGGCTCCGCTTGATACACCATTGGTCAGTTGGTGGGATGGAACATCGAATCGGCATCGCTGACACGTGTCTATTTGGTGCGCCGTAGAAGACCGCAGGTTAACGGCAATGTCGTAAGCCATTGGCATGTTCGAGTCGTTCCTCCACTGTCAAAAAAAGTCGTGGCCTACAGTGGAGTTCGGCCGCGCCGGCACATCAAGCAGCCTTATTCAGGGACCGGACACTGCTTCTTTTCGGAGGGGACCTGGAGAAGCTGACCTTAAAATTGCTGGGGAACCACGTCGTATGTAGGCGCACTGTGATCGCAGACGCAGAACGCACGGTCTAAACAATCAAAATCGAGACAACAATAACAAAAACTATACTCATTCTCCTCATCCTACCTCTTCTTCCTCTCCCTCCGCCTAGTCTCCTGCCTATTCTTTTCCTTCGTCACCTTCTTCTCCACCTCCTTCCCGTCGCCCCACCCGTTGTCACCAGACTGGCAGAGTGAGCCCACTCAATCTGGCAGTCTGGAATTTTCGTTCCCTTCTGGACAATCCGAGGAGCAACCGCCATCTAACTCTGACGCCTCTTCCGAACCACCATTTCCATCATCATCACCATCATCATCATCCTCCTCCTCCTCCTCCTTCGCTGCCCCAACGACGGCCGCTCAGGCGACAGTAACGCACATCAGCCACCCTGACACAACAACCGACACCATCCCCACTGCCTCCGATTCTAGCTATGAGGATCAGGACTACACCTGCCCACACTGTCCACGCAAATTCCCCTCTCGCATCAGCCTGGTCGGTCACTTGCGAACCCATCGGACAGAGACTGGCTAACC